GTCCTGCTTGGCCAGGGGCTGTTCTTCTGTTATGGCTTGGGCTTGCTGTGGTGTATTCACTTGTGTCTTTGCCAGGTGGTTGCAGAGGGAAAGAAATGATGAAAATGACTCACATTGGACACATCTGTTTAACAAAATGATGAAAATGAGCTCACCCTGTAAAATTTCTCTTTGGGTTATTAGTTTCTGAAGTGTTTGGTGGGGAGGTTGTTTGTTAAACTTGGGATATTGTTATTTATTTTTTTGTTGGCGTGGTTTGGGCTTATTGCTGTTGCCTGTTGTTTTCACAGTCCTTGGGATCAAGCCCAGGTCCTTATATGCAAACACTCTACCACCCAGCCCCTAAATTCAGACACTTTTCAAAAGTGTAAATGAACAGAAATTAGATATAGATACAGATTCTTATGTGAATAAACATTTTCCTGCATGTATGTCTTGCACCATGTGTGTGCCTGGTACCCACAAAGATCAGAAGAAGGCATCATAATCCCTGGAACTGGAGTTACAGGTGGTTATAAGCCACACCATGTGGGTGGTAGGAATTGAAGCAGGGTCCTCTACAAGAGCAGCCAGTGCTCTTAACCACTGAGCCATCTCTCCAGCCCCAGTGATGGATGCTGTTACAGAGCAAATGATCTGGTTCCCAGGTTCTCATTCACTTTTCACAAACATGTGAAGGGGGTTGTGATAAAGTGCAGGAGCTGACCTATCTCGTGTTGCGTCATCACCTCCATCACGGCTGTAGAAGGACTCTTACGCCTGCATCTTAATTCAATCCCAGGTTTGAGACTGAGAGGGGGATGCGCATCACTGTGGAAGCTGATCTCCAAGGCTTGAGCAAGGTTTTTGATGACCTGACCCTTCAAAAGACCGACTTGGAAATTCAGATTGAAGAACTGAACAAGGACCTGGCCATCCTCCAGAAGGAGCATCAGGAGGTGAGAGAGTCGCAGGGATGCTGAGGCAGCTCCAATAGCAAAATAATAAAATTGAGAGGAGAAGAAACAGGAAGAAGAGGTGATGGCGGCGGTGCTGATGGTGACAGAGAGAATGTAATCGTGCCAGCCTCCCTTTTGCATGAGGTTGCTCTCCCTTAAAACCTGAAAGGAGTGAGCCAGACCCCAGGAAGCCTTCTTCCTGTTTCCTCTCATCTTTATTCATGCCCAGTGGAGGAAGTCACAAGATTTATTATATTTTTTCCTCCCAGTCTGATCTGAGGGTATTCTTCAGACTAAACACAGTCGGAATCTTACTCCCACAGGAAGTGGATGCCCTTCGCAGGCAGCTGGGCACCAATGTCAACGTGGAGGTGGACGCTGCTCCAGGCCTGAACCTGGGAGAGATCATGAATGAGATGAGGCAGAAATACGAAGTCTTGGCCCAGAAGAACCTCCAAGAGGCCAAAGAACAGTTTGAGAAACAGGTAATTCCAAGTGTGAGCAGGTGTGAGCACTGATCTCCAGGACAGAGCCTATTCTTTTCTTTCTCTTTTTCCCCCTTCTCTTTTCTTTCTCTTCTTCTTCCCTCTCCTTTTCTTGTCTGCCCTCCTCTCTTTTATGTCTCTCTTTGCTCATTTTCTTAATTTTTGAAACTTTAGAGCGCAGCCCTGCAGCAAGAAGTCACCGTGAACACCGAGGAGCTGAAAGGGGCCGAGCTGCAAGTCACGGAGCTGAGACGCACCTACCAGGGCCTGGAGATTGAGCTGCAGTCTCTCCTCAGCATGGTGAGCCCCTCTGGCCTCCCCTGCTCGGTCTAGTCCGTGCTGACCAAGGCCTGTGTTCAGAACTCTAGAAGCACAGACTCCTGTAAGAAGTAACCTCTCCCCTTGCAGAGCCAGAAAGGAAACAGGTCAAACAGCTAATAATAGCCACACCTCAGAAAGAAGCAGAGGAAGGGTAATGACCTGTACCAATGTAGGGGAAAGAGTAGATCTTGAAGATTCCACAGGGAAAATTGCATTTATCCGAGAACTTAAATCAAAGATGAGCTTTAAGTTAGGAAAGAGTAGTCATCTCAGGCTAAGCAAGCATCAGCCACCGCAAGTTATGCCAACAACACTACAAGATGACTCTATGGCTTTCTGCTTCCGGTGTCAGGGG